CTGTCATCGACTGCTCTCTTCCAAGGCTGGCTCTGGGAGATAAAGGAATCACAATTTCTGTAAGGGTGCGCAGACAAGCCGATTTTATAGCTGCTGCGTGCTCCTCCTCACCCCCCCCCCACCCCACCCTCCCCATCTGCTGTAGCTTTTCTTCTGATCGTAGTCTGCTTTATTTCATCGTAGTCTGCTTTATTTCATTTTATTCAAATTGTTCATTAGAAAATTTTCCAGGTCAAGACATCTTATTAACTTATTCGATGTGGATACTGCTCTAATAATATTGTGCAATAGTGGTGAGAACGATCTTTACAGCTTATAAAGCGAAGCACCAAAACTACATTTCTTTCCAAACTGTTGGTGTTAAAGTGCTCGATTTTTAATATATTATCTGGCCAAAGTTGTGTCCCGCTTGAGGAGCGGTGACTACGCTATGATGCAGACGGTTTTCTCTGTGCTGGCGCACTTTTTACTTCCCGTCTATTGTGAGATTTCTTGGAATATTATTGTGCGTTGTTCATTGTACAATCTATTACGGCTTGAAATAATATTATTTGCTTTATAAGCTGTAATATTATTTGACGTTTTTGATGCAATTTGAAGAGCCCTTTTTGCAGTCCTGGGTTTTATCGCTCTTCCAGCAATAACGTTAGTTTCTACGGGTACTATGGTGAGCGGGGAAGTTGGTTGTTTTTAGCCTGCAAGGTGAGACGTAGGTGGTTCAATTAGAGGAAAAGATACAGGTAATGTGGCGTCAAACAAAAAACGGAGATACGGTGGAAGTGGAAGGGTCAACGTTAGGGCCTGCGGAAAAACTCACCGGCGAGCGCACGCGTCGCTTGCTTGTTTTCACCGCACAATGATGCGGCGAAAGGGAAACAAAGGTCAGCGCTGTACAATTGCAGTCTTGAGGCAATGAACTTTATAGCAATTTGCCGGTAATGGCCAGCCACAACAGTAGAACAGGGGGAAGACAAGTAGTAGCGAGATGGGAGGCAGCTGAAAATCATATTCCAAGATACGCAGCTGTGATTAGGATTGCATTTACACTGAGCCCTCTGGCCCTGGCCATTGAAGGCGCAGTGATGGCAATGCCTGTCATGTCCAGTCCACCGCAGCGAAATTGCTCGGCACGCGCCGCGTGCGCGCCACCGGTGAGTTTTTCTTCCCCCGTGGAGTATCAAAGCATTCTTTTGGTTCGCAGCATTTCCAGGAGTTTCACTGCCATCTATTTATAAGTGCAGAAACCTTGATGCTTGGCGGAAAGAGGGCACAGGGTGGCATTCTTAGCGTTGACCCTTTTGGTTACGCCATGCATGTTTTATCTATTCAGCACTTTTCTCACAGGCCTTTGCAGGGGCTTGGAGAATTAAAGGCATGTTTCAGTTTGTGCGTCCAAATAGGTTAGAGTGCTAAAAGCTTCTTGTCGATTGAAAAGATAGACATCTCCCGTCCTCACGTGCAAGTGTGATTCTAATGTCCAACGCCAGAAGCATGGAAAACTTTGTTCTCCTGAGCCGCGGGAGCGTGACCTCTCCAATCGCTGCGCTATTCGTCACTTTCTCATTTTTCTCGTCAGCTTGTTGTTCTACGCTCTTTGATGCTCTGTGAATGTGTTTTATCATAGGCAAAGATCTACTGCGTTTTCCCTCCCGCATTTTTTATGCTCTAATAAATATGGGTATATCAGTGTTTACGATTGTATCTGTGGGTAAGAGTGTACCCGTCTATTCTCGGATACTTCATTTTGTCATAAATGTTCGTCGCTTCTGTTCGACTGTTATTATAAACTGTCTGCGGTACTGTTCAGGAGACCCACTTGTCGGCGATGCACAAGTCTCTTCAATTGACATTTGCACATTCCGCGTTAAAATAAGTTTTGGTGCGAGTGCCGCGCACGCGATATCACCTGCAACGCTGCGCTGCGCGTCGTGGATCTCCTAACCAGAATCCTGCCTGCAATCTTCACGGTAATGTATAACAATCTTTTCAGTAGCTGAATGGATCAACGCAGTAGAGACATCCGCACTTGCCTTCTGATGAATTTAAACTTCGACGATGTGCTACACTCGCTCAAAAAAATTTGGTAAAAGCGTTTGGTGAAAACAGTATGTCTCTTGACACTGTGAGAAGATGGTACCGAAGATTTCGACATGGCTATGAATCTGTGGACTATCGAAAAAAAGGACCGGTCAAAGTCGACGACGATCTTTTGGAGGAAATGGCCAACACCAAAATGTCAGCTTCAGAGATGGCGAAATTTTTCGGTGTTCAAATTGCGACGATCAATATGCATTTAAAGAATATTTCACAAGGCCGAAAAACAACGTTTCTCAATCGACAGGTTGTTGTTTTCTTCTAGTTTTTTCTTATTTTCGCTTTTAGTCTAAGGCAGCGGGCAAGTTGACCAGGATGCAGACATTGAGATTGAAACTGGTATTCATTCACACCCACATTTCATCCAGCGCTCTCAATGCTCACTTTGAACGCTCTGGTTTACGTCTGAGTGCACTAGGATACTGGAATTTAATTCTCCGATTCTTCATATTATTCGGCTTCGCAGGACGTTTTTTTACGTCTAGGGCGCACCCGTGATAACGGCGGCGTCACCAAACGCTATGCTTTTTCATTAGTGAATTCATAAAATCTGTAGTATCAGAGGGAAAAATTTACAACGTTATGAAAACATGTGCGATACAGTGTACCCAAAAGCTGCTTGCGAAATTAAATGTGGCTCGTGGATGCACACAACTGGGCGCCCCGTGGGCCGTTTTAGTTACTCATGTACACAACTCGGTCGGGGTACATTTCATCATTGGCACTGACTCTTGTGCTACCACGAATTTGGGTCGAATGTGAGTCTCTCCGTGTCTTGCACTAGATAGGATGAATTATTGTGTCTTATATCGAATCATAATATCATGAAAATTCCCTTCCGTGCCGTGTGCTAATGAAGAATAGTCACGCTCTCTCCATCGGTACACGGTACCCTATACCCGCGGAAGCAGAGTGATCAGATTTGAATCCTAGACGAGTTTGCCCCGGTAATCGTGGGCGACTTAACATCCAAAAGATTAGCTTATAATAATAGTTTGATGTAAAGTTGAAGACAGTAAGCAGGTAAATAGGAACAAGCTCACAGTCTTAATCTTATCCTAGCTTCACCTTCCTTTTTATATGATGAGTAGGGAGAGCAATGAGGATGCACAATGGTCATGAGCCCCCGCCCCCCTCCTCCCCCCCCCCCCGCTCGCCAAGGGAGGTGCCTTCAACTGGCTTGAAAGATATGTGGATAATATCTGCTTCTTTCGAGAGCTTTCGTATTGGATTACTATATCAGGCAATTTGGCAACTTTTTTCTTATCTCTTTCCATTCCAGAAGTTACGAGATCGTTTATCAATTGACCATGATTGCTTGATTGGATACATAGATGGTGAGGTGATTGGACACATAGATGGTGAGGACCTCGTGAAACTGTCTCTAATTGTCTTTTACTCCCGTTCTTGTGACAACTTTGTATCCGGCAAAGTACAATTCCAATAACTGATAGGCCACGTTCATACTCTGCGACACTGGCGAATCGGTGCACAGGAGAATGGGAGAACCAGCGAACAGAGACTGTGTGTCGAAGGAATATATGTGAATTTATCGATTCCCATCATCTCCTATTCTTCCGAGGGTCATTTCGCCAAGGTGAGAAAGTATGAACGTGGTCTGACATCGACAATGTTCGCTCATTATAAAGGCACTGTTAACAACTCACTGCCTAACGCTCTGAAACTGAAACCAGGTTTTGGTCGAGATTCTACCACGCAAAAAGAATGATTTATCCATGAGTATAGTTTGGCCTTCTGATGCGTACAGTGGATTTCTCATCAGAAGGTGGGGCGGTCCACATGCACGTTGGCAAGGCCGCCTTCATACGCAGCGCCGCCGTGGGGCCTCCGCGGAATTTCCAAATCGATACGTATACTTTGCGTTATTCTAAAAATTCCGCGGAGGCCACGGAGGCGCTGTGTATGAACGCGGCCTAAGCGATCAGACGCCGCCGCGATCGATAGCGGCTGATACACCTAATTAAACTGATTTCTGTTGTTTTCAGCTTATGTAGGCTGAAATTATTCTTCGTCCAGCTTTAATAAGAAAAGCTAAGTATGTTCCACTGAAGCTAGGTTTCATTTAGCATGTTTTAGTCAATAACATCGAGGTTACACGAAGACATTTAATAGAAAATTGAAAAAAATGCAGAAATAGGAACAGGAAATTAATTTTCCAAGTGACATTCGTGCTACAACCATGCAAAATACAATCTAGTTCTAGCAAACATACTGACCTTTCAAAATTGAAGCCGAAAAAAGGAAAAAAATTCAGCTTTTACGAGCTGAATCCAAGACAGATACAGCAAAAAATACCGCAGAAATCAGCTGAGTGGGAGCAATTATCGATCGGCGAGAGTCCAGACGGAAGAGTGAGGAGATAGTGCGGCGGCGTGTGTTCGAGCGCAGAGTCAATGTCAGAGAGCGCAGAGGCAATGAAGATAATCGCCCAGGCCTCCGCCTTTCCACCGACACGCAACCGTCGGACCGCTCGCCAGTGTGTCGTAGGACCGCCCCACCGTCGGATGAGAAGTTCACTGTGCACCACCGCGTGTCTCTAAGGAAGTATAGCATACGGCCCCTGCCCTCTGAGCGCCCGCGCCAATCGATACCCGTCAGGCACTGGAGCGCTTTTGCAATGGTAGCGGGACGTAGCGCATAACCGCGAAGTTTGAGCGTCACCTTATTGATCAGTTCATCCCGTAAATATTGCTTCAGAAACGGAAGCGGCTTATAGTCCAGAGGGAACGAGTACGCATAGTACAATGGATGGCGAACAACTTTCCAACCATTCCTCCGAATTTTCATATGAATCATCACAACCAGGTGATTGCGAGTGCTGCTGTTTGCTTTCGTTCGCCTTACTTGGTCAACCTAACTTTCACTTTCAGTAGACTTTTCACCGCCCTCGACGAGCGAATCTCTACCGCTCCTAAGGGAAAAACCAGAGTCGGAAAGTGGTAGCTCGGTTTCGTGTTTTACAGGTGATTGCAAAGTCCTTTTGATTTTCTTCTGTATTGGCGCTTCTGAAGTTCTTTGTCTTTTCTGGGTGTAAGGCTGCGTTCTTACTTTGCGGCAGCGTCCACCAGCGATCATCAGCGTTTCGAGCGTCCGCAAGCGTAGACATCGAAGGAGTAGCAGGCAGCTAGAATAGGCATCATGAATTTGGGGCGTATGCAACCGCTCCGTACAAGTATTAAAGCACAGATATGCAATTTAATGTAGTTGCGGTGCACTTACACACGTCGCAATTTTATGACCCTAATTCTCTTGTCTGCTACACTCCTACTTCCCCATACTCTACTGCTGGACGCCGGCAGACGCTAATAGACGCTGGCATTCACCAGGTCGACATCTATACTTTCGCAGTCCCTCGATGATGAACATTGGTAGACGCTGGCTTTCGTTGGACCGGTATTTATACTTTCCCAGTCGCCTGCGCTGGCGGACGCTCGGAACGCTGGTGGACGCTGGTATTCGATGGTGGACGTGCCGCAAAGTATGAACGCAGCCTAGGATTAGCTTAAGAGGAAACGAAGTTCAATCCTCATGAGTAAAGCAAAGTTGGATTTTAAGGTTCAAGGGGCTCGCAATAAAGCCAGCGGTGCAGGGAGGGGTCTTGGTGAAGTAGAAAGTTCCCTCGTATCGATGGTGTCTCAGTGGTGTGAAGCATTTACTATTATGTCGTCTTACATCTGGGTGGAAGCTGAGAGAGGCAATTAATGATGTTCAGAAATTTCAGTGTCAGAACAAGCACGAACGGTCGTTGTTGTATCTCCAACTGACGACAAAAAGCCGGATGGTAAAAATCTTGAAATTTTGACAGCAAGCAAAACGAAAGAGACGTTTTTAGGGGATTTATCCAAGTCATTTTAGTGAACAAAGACCCGAAAGTAGACCGTGTCGTACATCCTGTCAAATGTGAAAGGCCCAAAGGTGAGAATTTTTTGATTTTTTTTTTTGTTTTTCCATCTTACGCTAATATCCTTGGAGGTGGCCTCATCTGTAAGCTTTTTCAGTGTGTGATATTGTTCTTACTTATTCTTTTGTCATTCACAACCTTGTGAACACCCTGCAAATCTGGTGAATTCCTGTCAAATACCTGTAAACTACTCTCAAAGAAGTGGTGCCAGCGTCACTGGATGGTCCTCTCTCAATTTTTCCAAATCTTGACAAATTATTTCGACAAATCTGACGGGAGTTGACAGGCTACTTGACAGGTGATAACAAGGCTTGTGTTGACAGGGTTGTCCGGTATTCATATGTGTGCACAGACTGTAGGATTCGGTATGCTGACAAGCTCTTACAGGTCTAGTCACCCCCCCCCTTCCTCCTCCTCCTCCCTCTCCTTATCAACCTGTGCTCTTATAATGTTCTTGATCATCTTGCAATAGTGACTTTATTAGGGGTGTTTTTGACTTTCACGATTTTATCCCTCTTTGCCGAGTTTCTCCTTGAACTTCGTTTTCTTCGGATGATCTCAGGAACAGGCCACCTCCAATGGGAAACTTTTCAAACTAATAAAGTAAAATTAGGAGGCCGCCGGCCCTTAAATAATCACCTAATCAAATTTCTTCCGATTACATCTAAATTCAAATTGACAACTGTTTGAGTAGGGGTGGTGTGATGGCACCACTCAAAACGCGCATGGATAGTCGATAGTCGAGGGACTAGTCCTTTTTGAGGTTAACGAAGCCTTTCATCTTTTCGTTGTGGGTTAACTGCTACTAGACATGTCTGTGAAAACGCATTCATAAGTCTTTCAGTTGTCTTATGCCTTGCGAGGTTGATAGGTGAACATTTACCCAATTAATGAACGTTCCACTTATGAACCTCGTAAGGCACAAGACCTGAAAGACTTACAACTAAGATGCCGAGGCTGCAAGAAGAGAAAAGCAGGGGAATACGCATTCATAATGTCACTACAGCTCTAGGTGGGATTGGATTCAGGGCGTATCCTAGAAGGGATTAAACAACGTTAAGAGTTCCTTTCGGACTGAACTGATTTTATGAACATTTTTCATTTTCAGCTAGAAAATCGTACACAGCTGAATATAAGCTGAATGTGATCAACCATGTCAAATTATTCGGAACAAGTGCTGCAGCAAATGACTTTGGACTGCATCGGCGGATGATTCAGAGATGGAAGGCGATGGAAGAGAAACTGTCCCGGACCAACCGCTCGAGGCGAGCATTCCGAGGAGGCGGTGCCACTCAGTGGTCAGTGTGAGAGGCTGGAATTCGGAAAAAAGAGTACTGTAGGCGGTAATATCGAATCAGAACTGCTTGAAAATTTTCTGAAAAGTAGAGCTCAAGTTTCGCGGTACACGTTGTGGATGGATGGACGTGGACCCGACACAAACATGCCAAGAGCGAAAATCAGTCGCCAAGCGTCCATGCGGCCATGTGCTGCGGATAAGGAGGCGTGTGAGAGGACAGGGTTTGGTACGGTGACAGCCTGTTATCCACCGATTGTTGAAACGAGCAAACGACAAAACCAGGTGAAAACCATCTGGCGCCGCTCACTGACACATCCCAGCATCCGCTGCAAATAAGGAAAGTCGCCTATATCCCAGCAAATCAGAAAGCGAAATATTTAGCCTCTGATTACTCGAAATCATAAGACTCATGGTCAGACGCGATGTTGAACGTGAACCATCACCCCAGGCTGAAACATGTTGCATGCCATGGTCCCTCCATCGCAGATACTGTCCATAGTAATCGTATAGTCGCCTATGAAAGAGAGGAAGAAGCTGTGCTGTCCTCATCAATGAGCTCCTGTTTACCGGTGTGACCATTAGCTGATTTGGCAGCAGGGCCATAATAACGTTGAGAAGCATTTTCGGGAACACCTCTGTCAAAATCCACCGAGAAAATGGGAAGAGGCTCTTCCGACAGGCTCTATCCTTGCTGTATATAGCTTGAATAGACATAGCAAGCTGTTTAACACTTTGTTTGCCTGGGCATTCAGTTTTTTCTGAGGAGGAACATGGAGAGAACGGGTTAGGGCTGGGTAGTATGTCGGGCATGGGACAAGAGCCACATGGCCTATGCTGAGGTCCGCCTACAGTGGGCGGGGCATGCGCTGAAGGTGACCGGCGTCGCAGGCAAAAGTCGTGACTCGATTTCAGAGCAACCCGCATATGAAGTGGAGCAAAGGACGGGGGATAGTCATGAATAACTGCTGTAGGAAAAGCGATATGGAGGGCAACTCTTGTGAGCCACTTTAGGTTTCTGGGATCTGACCCAAATGATAGGCCGCTAGTAAAATTTCCATGTGCCCAAGCGTTAGTACCAAAATACCGAAAAACAAATAAATGATTGAAATCTTGCCTTTGTTATCTTCCTTTTTATTAGGTTGTCCGGAAAGTTCTCAGCGTTTTGGGTGTTTCACTTTAAACGTAACTTTTTTAATACTCATCGGATTTAATCGAAATAGGCACCATTCGAATCAGCACACTTTTGCCAATGTGACAGCAGTCGAGAAATCCCATCAAAGTAAAAAACTGGGTGGTCGAAAATTCACGAAATCCACGAAGGCTTTTTTGCCTGGTCCTGTTTGATGAAGTATTTCCCAGCAAGGAAGTTCTGAAAATGTTTGAAAAGGGAATATTCGGTTGGTGGAAGGTCTGGCTGGGAATATGGCGGTTGAGGTAGAACTTCAACCCCCAATTCGTTCAATTTATGGATAGTGATTTGTGAAACGTGTGGGGGCGTTGTCATGCAAAGGAATCGGACCCTTTCTTTTGATAAGTGTTGGCTGCATCTGACAAAATTTTCGGTACATTTCGTCGATTCCTTCACAGTAGGGTTCTGCTGTGATGGTTTGGCCTGGTGATAAAAGTTATAGTGGGATCACACCAGCCGATGACCACCAAGCCGTGACCAGAATCTTTTTTTCGTGAGGGTTCGGCTTTGAAAATTACCTCGGTGGTTCGTCGAAATCCAACCACTGTCCGGAACGTCTCCTGTTATCATACATGACCCATTTTTCATCACAGGTGACAATTCGGTCCAAAAACAGGTCGTTTCTGCTGCGCAAAAGCAATGCAGAAGGAACCTCGAGACGTGCCGATTCCTGCCGGTCACTCCGATTGTGGGGCACCAATTGTCGAGTTTTTTCACCTTCCCAATGCGTTCCAGACCATCTGCAACAGTGGATTTGCCAAGGCCTAGCTCTTCTGCTATCTCTCGAACTGTTTGGGATGGGTCAGCCTCCAAAATCCCCTAAAAATCCTCGTCAGATATTGCTTTAGGTCGACCGCTATGAGGTTCATCTTCAAGGCTGACTCCAGAACGAAATTTGTTGAGCCATTGCCGCACAGTGCTTTCTCTAGCACTATTGGGCCCCCACACCTGGTTAATTTGTTGAGCTGTTTCGATTGCGGATTGCCCCAATTTATAGTCGAAGAAAAAAATCGTCCGAAGTGCTCTTTTCACATGCTTGAAAAAATCTTGAAAAAAGGGGGTTTATCAAGCAATGGTGAAACGGCAATTATACCATCAGATAGCGCAAGAAATTCTCTACAGGATGTGCTACTGAGAAGCAAGGCAGAATGAGTTTTTAATCAGCAGTGAATGTACAAAAAATAGGTGCACAAAACGCTGAGAACTTTCCGGACAACCTAATATATCCGTTACTATAATATGAAAGTTTGTTCAGAACTTGACCTTACGTACGGGCCTACAGTCTTGTTCGGTGGGCCGGAGCGTTTCAGGAGGGGGAAGGGGTGGGGTAGGTTTGGCGCGGCGCCAGCCTATTTCCCACCAATTGTTTTCGTTTGCTAGCTTACACAATTGGTGGAGAACTGGATGGCGCCGCAAGTCCTGCTTCTCCTCCCTTGAGACGCCCCAGCATCCGCAGCGAACAAGACTGTAGTTTCTTTTGAAATTCCTTAATGTCACCTTTTTCAGAGCTGCATGGTGGATCGGACGAATAGGCGCCTTCAGCATCAGAAGAGTGTACCAGGGACTTGCTGCTTGATCTCAAATACAGGGTTACGCCAAAGGCAGCGATTGTGCATTATTTTCTTCCGAATACTTCATTTTACCGCAAAGTGGGAGTGTGTGGCTGCGTACTCCATCTGAGCATGTCGTAGGATGGGTTTTTTTGGGGACACTCCCATTTGAGGCAACTGTCATGTTATCTTGTCTGGACGCGGGTCATGGTAACAGTGGTTCCAGAACGACACTATTCCATTAATAGGCGCAGCTTCAAATAAGTAGCGACGAAAAATGATGAAGAAAACACGCCTTCCATCTTTCTCTTATAGGAGCCACAAACTTTTTTTATCGTTCGTTCTGTCGTCATTTAGTATATCAATCTGCCATTCGTAGTTTGTCAGTCTGCTGGTCTGTCAATTTGTCAGTCAGTCTGTCTGTCTATCTTTCAGTCGATCGGTTTGTCAGTCTACCGTTCTAACAGTCTGTCAGTTTGCTAGTCTGTAGATCTAGGTCTGCTAAATGCTCGCAGCGGGAACAAGGGAAGGATAGAAGTGAATAGTTCAGTTATGGCATGTGTTTTTCAGCATTACTGTCTTGATGGTATAATGATCACTCCCCCCCCACTTCTATACACATATATGATAATATGAAGCCCAGATGCTGGAAAAGGAGAACATGGCTGCAACCAGGGTAGAAATACTGGAATCAAAGGGTGTGGTTGGTCCTTAGGTTTCCTCTCACAAATTTTTTTCTGTATTTGTAATAAATAGGAAGCTAACTTTCACTATGTGATACGTAGTCCCTAATGAACTCTTTTGAAAGGCATTTGTTGCATAGCTATCTATTGTATATATTGTTTCGATTTCAAATTTGATGAGGTATTTAAACCCATTCCATTGCTTGAAAATAAATTTTTTTAATTATCTGGAGCTTCGTGGTGAATCTTGGATGTCCTACGCAGTTTTTATATCGACAGTCCTTCGCTTTGTGTGTATCTACAGTTATACTCGAAATCCCTGAGATCGGGTAGGCGGAGCATTCGAACACTGTAAGGAACTGGTTACTAGTGGAATATTCCAGTCTGGGACAACTGTCATCTTGTTCTGTGTTGGACAGAGACACGACAACGATTGTGTCGAGATGAAAATATCGCATCAGAAGCGTAGACGCCTTAAGGGTAAGTTGAAACATGCGGCCACGCCTACCCGATCTCAGGGATCTCGAGTGTATCTGTTGTATTGTTCTGCTAAAGCCAGTGGCTACGGTAAGGTCGTGTTCATACTTCGCGATCTTGCATTTAGAGACCTTGCCAGAGACCACATACTAATAAATGACTGCGCCTGTTAGCCCATTCTCTCAACTCGCAAATGCTCCGAAATCGCGTGTTCTTCACGTCAAGACTGTCGCCTAAACCTACACCCGGAAAAATGGCCGGACGAGTTTTACGGGCGCAAGTCGTCCACTTCGTTGTGGGACCACGCGTCCCTTTTCATTTGAATTAGGATCCTAATTCAAATGAAGTTAAAGGGACGCGTGGTCCCACAACGAAGTGGACGACTTGCGCCCGTAAAACTCGTCCGGCCTTTTTTCCGGGTGTAGATTTAGGCGACAGTCACGTCAAGTATGAACGCAACTCAACTTTTTATGGTGGAAAGTTGTGTGATATCGCACTCATTGCGACTACAGCGATTTAGCCGCCCTAGTGCGATGGACCGCGCTCCATCGCCAATCTTTGGACAGCTACGGCGAACAAAATAAAGTTTTAAGTGTCTTGATTGGATCTGCATTTGCAGCGGTCCAGCGATTTGCCTTGGGTATGGACCGATAAAGCCAGCACAAATCCTGAAAAAGAGTCGCTCAAGTCGCGAATATGAACGCTTGGGATACGTAAATGGGCAGGGGTATACAACGGGCTAGTCCAGTCGCGGCATTGTGTGCAGACCAGCAGAGTATTGCCTAGCTAGTTGACTCGACACAACGCAGTTCTGACACGTTTACCACCGTGGGTCCTGTTACGAATGACAACCCTTCACAATCGTGCTTAATTCTCAAGAAAGTTATGGATATCAGAAAGAAATACTTGTGGAGTATCTGGTTCATTTTGCAACCTAACGTGAAATAGCGTGCTCCAGTGCAACCCCAGAGAGCGTTTTGAACGTTCGCGCGCTATTCTGAACTCGCGCGAACTACCAAAATTCGTCTATCGTTTCTTTTCTGTCTCTTTTTGTCATTTTTATTGGGGAGTCGTGACGAGCTCCTTTTTCCGGAAGGGAGTCATATTGAGCAGAAATTTTACACAACGGGCTGTCCTGGATTTGCCCCTAATTCAGCTCCCACTCAATCCCAAGAAAACTCAGTAAAAATGATTATTTCAGGTTTCAGTGGTTATGTTTCACAGACTGGACGATCGTGTTCTACTGTGCCTGCTGTATGAATGGAAGCTTGGTAATAGCCCCAGAACGGCGTACGAGAATCTGAATCGTGTTTATGGCCCGGGTACGATCACAGAAGGAACGACAGCGAAATGGTATGGGAGATTTCGAAGTGGTAGGCATAATCTTGAAAGGAAGACCAAAACTGGTGTGACACGTGTTGTGGATGAAGATGAACTGGAGCAGACACTGAAAGAGAACCCGGACTTAACTATTGCCGAGCTTGCGAAAAAGTTTGGCGTCAGTATGACTACAATTTGGAAGCATCTCAAACTGATTTCAAAAGGCCAGAAGATGACATTCATAGATTTCAAAAAACCCGAGCAGGTCAGTTTTATACTACGGTTGATCAGCATATGACTTGTATAAAACTGTGCCAGAGTAGGCAGTGCTTATATAATTGGGAGGGGAGGATCACTCGGCCAAAGCCTTCCTATTTTCCCCCTCAGAGCTGAGGCCTAGTGGATGCTCTGAACCCCTTTCCTCCCCCTCCCTCCCAACTACGCTAGCGTTGTAGAGGTTTTTTTCTAGTCTTTTTGTTCTTTGGCCCACTTGTTGATGAGCCAACTTTTATTGGTACGGACCAGGGGATGCAGTTGTGTAGAGCTCATTTTGATTTGAAAGGTTCAGCATGATCCCGCTGCATTCTCTACATGATCTAGAGCTAAGCTAGTAAAAGCTAGTCTTCAAGTCTCAAGTCTGGTGAGAATCTATGGGGCGATAGCCATGATTTAACCGTTTCAACACCAGCTACAGGTGAGTACAGGCGTCAGGTATATCTTTGCAGCCGTGGTTACGTACAAACTTCTGACTTCACGCGCAAAGTATAATTTTCGCAGCATGAAAACCGTTAGACATCTACTATTTGAATGTAGGTCTCGTCGTGCCCACAGTGTGGCATTCTTGTTTTATTTTTTATTGAATAACTTCATATTTTCTAATTATTTTTTTTGCTTTTATTCCGTTGTGCTGAGTTTTTCATTGGCAAAACTAAGTACCCCGCGACAAAAGGCAGTGATGGAGTGCGACACAACAGCTACGTCAAGACGAGACAGAGCCTAGTTAGTGCTTTTCCCAGCCCGTTTTCCTTGTAGCGATCGATTTTTCGCACGATTAGTTGAGCGTATGCGAACACGTCTTAATGGGGCACAGCTGCACCGCTGCTTATCCTCCCCCAACTACCTCTGCCCCCTACCTTTGCTGTTTTTACTATGGCAGACATTCAAACGATGATCCCACAAGAAAAGTCGGCGCTAACGCAGTTGGGAGGGGCCACGCGGCTCGCGGCGAGCGATGACTCATCTGCTCTTCTGCTCCCTCCTCGGCAAAATAGAAGTAATTTCGTGAGGACATGAATATAACTTCGCCCTAGCTATATTCAAAAGTTAAAACAGTTAACACTGAAAAGTGCAGAGAATCAGTTTTAGGTGCAAAGGTTCTTGCCTAAACTGCAAAATTTTTCGCATGTTCGTCGTTGGCTGTTACTGTGACTACGAAAATCCAATTTTTAGCTTTTGTGGAATTCTTCAGCAAGTTCCCGGTGAATCTTGTTTGTTTTATTCTGATTTGGCTGCTAGATTCGCGTTTCAAGTATGCCGATGAGTGAAGAGCCGATGAGTCATCACTCGCGAGCCGCGTGGCCCCTCCCAACTACGTTAGCACCGAAAATTCGATACAGGGCCTCCTTCAACTCCCGTGTTCTCTCACTGCGAGGACCCACAGATTTTCTCATGGCATTTTCTGATCGATCATTCGAAGGGAGGAATATAAGGAATCCATAAGAGAGTAGGAAAGGAAAAGAATGGACTAGGAAGAAAAAAGGAAGGGATCGGGCTTTGCGGCTGAATTCCTGGGACTATCATGGGCACTGACTAACGTAGTCTATTTTGCAAAGTCTTAGTATGCTACTATAACAAGATGGTACATTTTGTTAATTTTGTCAATGTGCCAGGCTACTTTGTAGAATCCACTGAGAACTTCCGAAGCAGAGAAGCGAAAAGGTGACTAGAGTCGCCATGGGCAGAATACAGCCTTATTGGGAGAATCCTATCAGCACTTCCTTCCCTACTTTGGCCGTAGCAGAGGTATTGGTTGAAATTAACTGGTGACTGGTGACGATAGTTATTCGGGAGACAAAACCGGGAAAAAAGTGCTTGGAAAACCGGAAAAAGGGGGACGAGTCGTTTGGGGAAACTTAGGAAGGTCGTAGGTGAGATGGGGAAGGGAGGGTCGTACCGGGTGGGGCAATTTCGTGCCAACACTGCCATTTCCCACTTCATGGCGCTTTATCCTGCTCGTAAAGCAAGCGTGGTCGTGAGCGTCTAAGCCGAGCGCGTTCGCACTTGCTACCCAATCGCTTGGATCTGCGATCGGGTTGCTGGGTTGCGAGGAATGAACGCGCTCTATGCTTTCATTAGGTAAGGTTCGTAAAGGTATTTCCCACCTAACCCAGCTCAACTGCTTTAGCGAAACAAGCTTTACAAGAGTCTATAACTCTTTACTAAACGGTCCGGCACGTTGACAAAACTTAAAGACAGTTCCCGCGATAAGCGACCTGCACGCCTCCGTGCATTTGTCATTCGGGTCCCCGTTTGTAGAGAGTGCATAACTTTCGTCACTGGTAGCGGCGAGATAAAGAGGCCACGGGCGCGTGACTATTGCACCCTCTGACATTTTTGCTCTGCAGCACAACGGCACGCACGCGGAATTACATGTGTACATTGTGTTGCCTGGAAGATTACAAAAGAGTCGACATGCTAGATTCTCAGCGACGAGCGTAGGGCAATTCCCTACGCTCGTCGCTGAGAATCTAGCATGTCGACTCTTTTGTAATCTTAAGGATTGTTCTGCTGTATGGATTCCTTTTTGTAGTCATAGTCAGTAACAGTCCACTTTGCAAGACGAGACACGTTTGAGCGCCGCTCAAATTCAGCAGTGGCGACTTTGTGCAGAAGCTGGTCGTGCATTGCTTAGAGCGCGTTCAGACTTCGCGATCGCGCGATCCGGATCGCGCGATCGCGCTACTGTGGGTGAAATTACACCGGGAGGGGGTTCGTTCATGTTTATTGTTCCTGTTCTTTCCTTTTCCTTCTTTCTTCCTTTGTGTACATAACGCCCTCATTTTAAGGAACGTTTCGAAATATCTTTCTGTTTATTTTCCTATGTAAAAATAGTTACTAAATATACAATATGCTAATTATTATACTGAATTTTGCATTTGAGTACGTTCAAGCGGAGTGTTGAACATCTTGTTCCAAAAGTAAGACACGCAGAACTTTTAACAGCGGGTGATGTTGTTTCTCTCCCTTCCCCCGATTTTGCCAGTCCTCCAGATAATTCACTTTACTTTTGTCACATGTGTTTGCCTTTTGTTTCGTTCTGCCAATCCATTCCACGGTCTTATACACAACCTTTCCTTTCACGAGTTTCTGGCAACGCTTCAAGTACTCCGATAGTGTAAAACGGCATAAAGACATAAAAAAAGGTCTGAACTTACTTGTTATATCGTATTTTGGAAACCTGCCTTTTTGGATGGGAGTGATACAGCAGTTCGCTGATGTGAGAAATGTGAATATTTTAGATACGTCCCTTCTTCCAGAACTTTGTTTGTTGTTAGTTGTTTGTTGAGTCTGTAGTTGATACTATGAACGAACATGCCCTCCCGCGTGTATTTCACCACATCGTAACTGCGATCTCGCGCGATCCAAATCGAGCCGAATGCAGAGTCTGAAACGTAGTCTATACCGTAGGTACACCTATTAATCAATAGCATTGCTCGTCGCGCTTGACTCACTATCAGTCCCAACTTTTCCATAGCGCTGAGTTCGTGAAAGTTTTCAAACTCAATGTGTACGGTGTTGTGTCTTTTTTCGTCTAGACATTCACATGGTGTTTGTATTTGGAAGATGGCGAAGACGAATTTGCTGGGCGGAAGTGCCGCAGACAGCCGCAGGATGTCGCATATACAAACCGCTTCAATGAACTTCGTGCTAATGAGGCTGTTTGACTGCTACGGAGGAGGTTTGTTCAGATGGGATGTCATAAAGGTTTTTGAAGTCACTCATCAGGTCTGTTCACAATGAACCCATGGCGTTGGTCGTGGAAATGTCTTTAAGAAGATAGTAGGTAGGATGGGAAGAGGGTCGTACCGAAAGAGGGAATTTTGGGAGAGGGGGATCTCATCGACATAGCTATTTTACATACCACAATGCTGTACACTGCTCGTACGGCAAACAGGCTCTGGTCGTATGGGCACAGAGCCCAAGCTTTGGTTAGGAAAAGGATGTAGAGGAGCTACCACGTAGTACAGCTCATCTGCATTAGGAACACGAATTTTACAAAAAGTTACCGATCTTCACTAAATTGCCTGACACGTTGATATAAGTTAGCATGCCCCTCCCCCATTGAACTCCTATTTTCCGACGCGTCCATTCGTTTAACGTGTGTTTTTTGCTCGCGTTAATTGTGCTCGAGCGGGTTCAAGCTTCGCGATCCGATTGTGTGGATATTGCGGTTAGATCGCATCGGTAGAACGATTAGATTGCGCGGTCAGATCGTGAAGTGTGAACGCGTTCTTCTCGTAAACAGTTCTCTCTTTGATGCTTAACAAAACCTGAACTTTTCTAGATATTCTAGATGCACCTTGAGTTGTGCATCGTTTGCGGCGCGGGACCTAAGAATTTATCGACTCTTTACAAGCATTTGAGAAAACACCATGAATGGAGCGAGGAACGAATCGAACAAGAGAAACTACGGCTAAAAACTGCTAAAAACAAAAATCTGGTATTATGCGACGAGTGTAATAATGTTTATAGTTCTAAAAGGAGCTTAGGAATCCACAAACAGGTGCTCTTCATTTCCCTGGTTGTGCTGACCATATAAATCTCGATATTTAGCGATTTCATGCAAAAGAATCGAATCGCATGTTAAGCGTCGTATGCCCGGAATGTGGTGAACGTTTTTACAGTCAGACGGAATTAGTCAATCACTGCGGAGTGTCACACCGCAGTCAAAATCCAAATTCTGATTTTTCGATACTCCGCGGAAGTTTCAGCAGCTCAGAGTTGTTTGAGGTGAAACCATTCTTACTCCATCACATTTTGCTGGGCCATAAGTAGTGGTGTTTTTGCAACTTCAAACGCGAGAAATGTGAAATGTTTTATCTATGACCCCGCTCCTCTGCACATTGACATGGCATTAGCCATGCCGATAAAAGTTAGCATTTTCGGCATCACATATTCCGTGTTTGATCGAGGTTCTTTCGATCGTTTGAACAATTTTGTGCTGTGTGAATTATCGCGCCTTATATATTTCCCAGCTGAGCTATGCCCGTATATCCAGACTGAGCTAAGTTTCGGGTTTTTTTTTGGCGTTTCGCAGCCGTTTGAAGAACGAGAAGGTAGCCAAACGTACCAATCGGCTCCTTTCGCTGCCGCTTAGGAAGTGTCGGTGTTTCGAGCGTTCTGAGAGTTTCGGTCTTCTGAGATTCGGTCATTTCCTTTCGCTGATTCCCTCGGAACGCCGATTCGCTCAGGGCGCTGGTTCTCACAAATCGCTATGTCCTAAAATATGAACGCCGCGCAGCCTTAGAACCGTGACTTCATGACGAAACAGGAATGTGTCGAGAAAGCTCATTTTCGGCGGCGTACCCCCCCCCCCCGCTCCCCCTACACACACACAGCACACACTACCCCGCCATTTTTAGTGCAGTAAAGTCAGCGAGTCAGTTTTTAAGCACATGCGCCTTACAACATCCCGGAGAGAGGCCTGTTGCGTAATTCGTGTCTCCTCCGAATGTCCCATCAGAGCCCACAGCCTCATCAACACGTTCAAATTAATAGCGCTGCCAAGCCCACTCCAGCTCCAGGATATCGCATTTGAAAGCCTTTATGAAGCACAGAATTTCGTTCAAACAACTTGAAAAGGACTAAGCCAAAAAGATTTCCTGTTCTATACAAAGAGTTTCAAGTACAAAACGCCCGTTGGACCAACGTGATAGTTTTGGCTTGTCTGTCAGAAATATCTTAGGCGTGGAAGCTCTCTCTGGAAACGACGGCTTACACCTTTTTTGCAAAGAGACGTTCTAAGGATTACAAAAATGGGAAGAAACATCTGTACGTATGTAAATATGCACGAGGACACGCAGAAGTTGATGCCAGAGGAATTCGTCATTATAACAGTAAAAGTCTACGAGTTCAGTCGCATTGCCCTGCCTTCTTGAAGGTTGTACATTGGCTCAGTTTCAAGCAATTTTCGTTAACAAAAACGACCCCAGATAACTGAACAAGCAGACGGGAGTGTCGATTACGAATGCTGTATTGGACATCTTGGACATGATGTAAGGCCTGCAAACCTTCGAATCTCTACCGAAGACAAAATGGATGTTATGGACTTGCTAAAGATGGACACGAAAACATTCTTTGTAAGTAATCAGTCCAAACGCAACCTGTCGGGCTCTGTTATTATTTTCCTTGAAAAGAATATAATATTTTTTTCGAAGTATAGGCATCGATTTGTGCATTTAGAGGATCAGTGTTCAAAGGAGAATCGGCGTTCTGAATGGGAAAAAGGAGCTGGAATTGATCGGCACCCCAAACTCTAATTTACCCGAAACGTCGATTCGCTCAAAATGCCAGATCGATACCTGTATTCTCCTGATTCTCCTAAAACGCCGAGTCGCAAAGTATGAACGCGCTTTAGTTTTGCTGAAGATGCTTAAGCGTTATTCTCGTAACTACGGCAGCGACGGCATAACTGACGCTTGTATGTAGGTGGTCTAGACAGCATGAACTTAAGGAAAAGCCTTAGAGTGAAGTAACTGATATTCGAGAAGATCCTGAGGCTTGTCCCTTGAGAACCTTCGAAGGATTCCTCGTACAAAACTGGGGTAAAAGGGTCAGACTGGCTACTGGAGGCCGAACATAAGTGTACCAGTAACTGGTTCCTTAGGGCCCATCATAAATGCGACCTGGGCTTTAGAAGTCGTTGCTGGCTGAATAGTGGGAGGTCTTGCCTTCTAAGGTCATGATACAGGGAATCTCGAATACAGTCCCGGAGCCTTCACATTTGAACTGTGGTTCCTAACGATTTCAAGCCTTTTTTCTACTACTTTTTGCTAGCAAGTGTGTGGTTCACAGAACAAGGAGTTCATATTGTCGTCTAATTGTTTTCAGCCTATCGCTGCAGAACAGCTGATCTCATTTGCTTGTCCTCAGCAAGCAGTTTTCCCTAGTGCTGAGACATCAGAGTTAAATGGTGTCAAGAAAGAAGTTCATGAAGAACCTGACATGGTTGAGCAAAAAGCTTACTCAGGTGAGCGGGATTTGCAAATAACCAACATTTACGTGCTTGCATGTGATTGAGATTCTACCGGTCTTAGCGCAGCTTGCCAGACCTGTAATTACGGCTATTCTCTGATGTTCACATTTATTTTTTTGATTCTTTGATATTATTTTATTTTTAGGAGAGTCAGGCCCGTCTAGAAGTGATTGTGATGTATTACGCGACACCGAATAACGGAATGACCGAACGATGAAATGGAAATGCGAGACCTTTTATGATCCGATGGTCAGGTGTGGCTTCATTTTTCTAGATTGTTTCCTTTTTTTGCCGTTGTAATCGAGTATGTCGTGTGACTCTGCGTGGTGCGATGAAATAGAGAATAGTTGGCCAGCATTGCCCAGATATACTCAATGATCCAAAAACAGTTTGTGCTATGAAACATTGTAATATATAGTGTCATTATGTATATTTTCTAGTTTACGTTAATCGCACTGTGGGGACGGGCGATTCTATCCTGAGTGGACTGAGCTTCACTCGCGCCGCTGCAGCCGGCGAGCGCGCGAATCGGCGGCGGAACTTCAGAGTTTACTTACCGTCAGTGTGTGATGCTTTAACCCCGTCTGCGACCCATGAGACAACACAATCCGTGCGCAGCGGCTGAGCTGCGGCGTCACCGGCTACGCCCACAAGCCCGGCAACTTAACGCTGCCGCGACTGAGTCCATACCCTGGTCAGGCTTGTGCTGACCGTGAGTTGTAGACCATATTGAGCTTCTTGGAAGGACTGTAAATTTCAAAGATAGAAGTGATCGTTGGGCAGAGCGTGTAAATTTTGTCTCGTCGGCTTACAAGTGTAGTATCTGTAAAGGGAACCGTTTGCTCCGGCCTGTGTACCAGAAAATGAACAGCGCAGTTTCATATTAGTGAATGTAGTGACTAGGATCTACACATTTGGCCCTGAAGATCGTCTTTCATTGGTACGCACTTGTTGTCATGCTTCTTGAATTTAATGTCTAATATTTTCAACCGAGTTCTTGATGGATCTTTACATTTAGGTACAGCTTGACTTTTGGTCAGTTTTATCGCGTTATGCAAAATGATAGTGCTTGAGCTATTGTAGCTTTTTAATAACGTAGTAGTAGTAGTAACTAGTGCTGTCGTACAAGATTAACTTCCCTTCTCATTCGTTTCCTTGTTCTTTTTTGCATTTTGTGTAGAGGAGACTTATAATGAACCTGAGAGGTAACTCCTTTTTTGTCCCATTTAGAAGTGGGCCAGCAAGGGTGCCTTTGAGAGATCCCTCTTCAGGTGGTAATATGACATCAAAGGCAGTGAGCACGATTGCTGCAGACGGGTCGTTGCTGCCACCGTCTTTGGTGGAAGGGCTGCAAGAGGACGTTTGGAAACACTCCGCTGGGTCCTTCACCGGTGACGCTGGCAACAACCGCCGGCCCTGCAATGGTATCCACTGCAAGTAAGTGAGGTCCTAGTGCGATTAGCGTACACGTGACTGCTAGTGCCACTTTTGCCGCGTTATCCCACGAGCATCCTTGAGAGAGGATGTAGCGTGGGGACGGGTAAAATGGCGGTGTCACTGCGGCGTTTCTCCCCTGTCAGTTGCTTCTTTCGGTACGACCTTTTTCACTACCTAGCTACCATACTACTCGTTTTTCCCAGAATCGTTTTATCGAACTTGGGGGTATAGCGCATGAATGAGGAAAAACCAACGATTAGACCTTATAGGCTCTGCGCAGTGACGCTTAGTGGGTTTGAAGCACCCTCTACAATAGTTGAAAAGTGTGATCCGGCGCTGTTTGGCGAAGGCGGGGGCATGGTAGGTAGGTCCAGAACGGAAGAGGTTGTACCACTTTTGCCCCTGAAATGGCGCGGTAATGCTGCTAGGGGTCGCGGCTG